TAGCCTGGATTGAAATCAAGGAAAACATTTCAATAGTCTGCAATAGTGAAATCCCCCACCATCATTCCTAGCCAGCAAATGAAAGCCACCAATGAGGTTTTGGAAGATACTGGCTAAAGAGTTAATAGATTGGATAGCATCAAATTAAAAAGCTTCTGCACTGGGACTGGGGTTGTGGCTCAATGGTACTTGCCTAGCATGTGTGAGGCATTGAGTTTGATTCTTAGTACTGCATTTAAATAAATAAAGGTCCACTGACAACTAAAAAAGAAAAAAAAATTAAAAGCTCTTGCACAGCAAAAGAAACAATTAGGAATGTTAAAGAGAGAGCCTACAGAATGGGAGAAAAATCTTAGCTACTTTTCTGATAGAGGACTAATATCTAGAATATATAAAAAAGTCAAAAAAATTCACACCAAAACAAACAAACAACCTGATTAATAAATGGGCAAATGAATTAAATAGACAATTCTCAAGAAATACAAGAAATTTGTTGGTATTTACCAACAAATATATGAAAAAATGTCCAACATCATTAACAAATCAAAACTATACCGTGATTTCATCTCACACCAGTCAGAATGGCGGTTATTAAGATTACAATAAATGCTGGAGAGGATGTGGACAAAAAGGATCACTTTTACACTATCGGTGGGATTGTAAATTAGTATAACCACTATGGAAATCAGTATGCAGGGTTCTCAAAAGACTAGACAGGAACCACCATAGGACCCAACTATGTATTTATCTTAAAGAATTAAAATCATCATACTATAGTGATAATGCATACCCGTGTTTATAGTGGCACAGTTCATAATAATCAAACTTGGAATGAGTCTAAATGCCCATAAACAGATGAATGGATAAAAAAGTGTGATATATGTGCACAATGGAGTTTTATTCAACCAGAAAGAAGCATGAAATTATGTCATTTGCAGGAAAATGGTGGCACTAGAGACTATTATGTTAAGTAAAATAAACCAAACTCAGAAGGTCAAGCATTGTATGTTTTCTCTCAAGTAGAATCTAGAGAGGAAGAAGGAAAAGAAAGGTAGGGAGTTGGGAGCTCATGAAAATCAAAGAGATATCACTAGAGGAAAAGGATCAGGGAGTAGGAGACAGGGAGAGAGGGAAGGAGTGCTGGGGAATGATATTGGTCAAATTATATTGTTATATTGTGTGCATGTACAAATATGTAACAAGGAATCCCATCATTCTATACAACTATAAGGCATCAATGTTTAAAATGTGGAAAGAGAAAAAAAAAAAGAAAGATACTGGCAAATTGGGCACATCGGCACATGCCTGTAATTCTAGCAATTCAGGAGACAGAGGCAGGAAGATCCCAAGTTGGAGGCCTACCTAAGCAACTCAGCAAGACTCTCCTGAAAAATAAAAGTGGACTGGGGGTTTAGGTCAATGGCAAAGCCCGCCTGAGTTCAATCCCCAATACAAGAAAGAAAGGAAGAAGAAATTGGTAATTGCAGCTCTCGATTTCTTAATAAGAAGATTATCCTCAAGGACAACTTTTCCTGCTTCCTAAGCTAATGGATTTTCTCCTTGAAATTATATCAGGAAAGATCTGAGGGTGTAGCTCAGAGGTACAGTGCTTGCCTCAAATGCAGAAGGTAGTTGGTTTGATTTCTAGCACTGCGAAATTTTTTTTAATTATACTAAGGAAGTTTTGGCAGCTCAACCTACTGAAAGCAAGTGTGATGGTTTGGATTTGAGGTGTCCCCTGAAAAGCTCATGTTAGGTGATGCAGCAATGTTCCAAGGTGAAATGATTGGATGAGAGCTGTGATCTAATCAGTGAAATAATCTATTTGATGGAATGGAGTGGTGACTGGCTCCTTGCTCACTCTCTGTTTCCTAGCTGCCATGACCTGAGCAGCTTTCCACTGCCATGCTCTTCCATCATGATGTTCTGCCTCACCTTGAACCTAGAACAATAGATTAGCCAACCATGGGCTGAACCTGTGAAACTGTGATCCACAAATAAACATTCTCTCCTCAAAGTTGTTCTTGCCAGGTATTTTGGTCATACTAACCAAAAGCTGACCATTTTAGTCCAGTTTTCAGTCAACTAACCTACTTCTTGGGCTACACATCTTATTTGAAAACTATTAAGTGCTTTCATGTGGATCAGTTCAGCTGAGTCCATTGTTATATGCTCTTCTTTTCTGCCTGGCACTTCTAGAATTCATTTCCATATGTACTCTCAGGTCTCTGATAGTATCAATTTGCAAAATTTTGCAATACAGTAGTCATATGTCATTTGACAGGCTGAGGAATACACTGTTAGGCTATTTTATCTTTGTGCAAACATCATAGAGTGTACTTATACAAACCTAGATAGTGTTGGCCTACTTCACTCCTAGGCTGTACGACGTAACCACCATCATATATGCTCTGTGTCATTGACCACAGCATTGTTATGTAGCACAGGACTGTGTTTTTATTGTTACTGTTGTTGTTATGTTTCTGGTTTATAAACTATTTTCTCCCAAGTCAGACAAGAAACTGCTTCAGATGAGATCACTACAGGGGTTTTTAAATAATGAGAGGCTAGTCCCCTCAGACATTGAGAAAAGGGGGTATTTTGGTTGACAAAGAAAGCCTAGTGAAATTAAATATTACTTGATAATAAAAAAATAAACTCAAAGAAAAAACAGCAAATTTAATGCTTGCAACAACTTGGACAGATTTTAAGGGCGTTTTCTCAAACAGTTATATAGTGTATGCTTCCACGTACATAACATGCTCGAAATGACAAAATTACAGTGATAGAGAACATATCAGTGGTTGCCAGGGGTGAGAGTTGAGGGAAGGATGACTAATAAGGGGCAAAACACAGGGGAGTTTCTTTGTGGTAATGGGACAGTTCTATATTCTGATTGTGGTAAGAGTTATTATGATAAAATACATATGCTAAAAACACATGATTAAATTTCAGAGAACTATAAGCATACACACACCAAAAAAAAAATAAAGATGTGCATATGAAAACTGGGAAAATCTGAATAAGGTACCCGAGTAATCATAATTATACCAATGTCAGTTTCCTTGTTTTTACCAGGAACTTTGGTGTTATAAATTATCATTGGATGGAACTGGGCAAAAGGTACCTAAGAACGTTCTACCATTTTTGCAACTTATTGTAAGTTTTAAACTATTTCAAAAAAGTTAGTAGGGGAAGAAGGAGAGAATGAGGGAAGGAAGGAAGGAAGGAAGGAAGGAAGGAAGGAAGGAGAGAAGGAGACTTTTGGAGGGATGAGGAGTTCACATTTTCCAGATTCATCAGAGTCTACTCAGATGTCTTCATTCTGAATCTCAAAAAAGGCTCCAGATTTTACACAGAAGGGATTATGGATCCTGGATGATATCATGCATTGAAGGGTTAATCAATCTTGGTACTTTCCTGCTTTTCTTGGCTTCTAAACCCATATGAGATAATAATTATCCTTTTCTTTCCCCACTGCTGGGGATTGCCCTTGCCTTCCAATATAGTCACCAAGTGGAATCAAGTGCCTATGTTCATTCTTCTTTATTGCTAGAAATTTCAGCAGAATGGGCTGGGGTTATAGCTCAGTGGTAGAGCGCTCACCTTGCATGTGGAAGACACTGGGTTCAATCCTCAGCACCATATAAAAATAAAATAAAGGCATTGTGTCCATCTACAACTAAAAAGTATTTTTAAAAAAGAAAGACAAAAGAAAAGAAAAAATAAATTTCAGCAGACAGAAAATTCTTCTTTCCCAACAATCTCCACACAGGTTTCTTATGATACATTGACTCTGAATGGGTTACATAGTTATCCATGAATCAAACTCTGAAGACACAGTAAGACTGAATTTCACATGCACTCTTAAGTTGGATGTGTTATCAGCTTTCCAAGAAGCATTTGGTCTTAGTGTGGAAGCAAGAATTTCAGTGCCAAAGAAAGCAGAATTTCTAAAAACTTTCAAGAAAAGCACGCTTTTAGAAGATGGATACTAATGAGCCAGGTGCGGTGGTACATACCTGTAATCCCAGCAGCTCGGAAGGYTGAGGCAGAAGGATCACAAGTTCAAAGCCAGCCTCAGCAAAAGCCTTGGTGAAACCCTGTTTCTAAAGAAAATACAAAACAGGGCTGGAGACGTGGTTCAGTGGTTAAATGTCCCTGAGTTCAATCCCCAGTACTCAAAAAATAAAAAAAATAAAAATAAATGGATACTATTGATTATGTCAGAACACATCATGCAAAACCTAAACCAAGCCAGACATGGTGGCACATGCCTGTAAACCCAGCGACTCTGGGAAGATGAGGCAGGAGGATCACATGTTCAAAATCACCCTCAGCAACTGAACAAGACCCTCAACAATTTAGAAAGACCCTGTCTTAAAAATAACAAGGACTGACAATGTAGCTCAATGTAAAAGTACCTCTGTTTTCAATCCTTAATATATAAAAAAAAAAAACCTACATTGAAAAGTTTGGATTCTGAAACAGAGGGAACCATCTGTAGATAGTGTCAGCCATTTGAATAAAAGCAATGTGGGTGAATAAAATAAGCACTAAAGTCAGGAGACTTTAGTTCTAACTCAGAACTGAGGCTTATTAACTCTGTAACCTTCAGCCAACACCTGATCTGCAGTTGCCTCATGTATAACACAAAGGAATGAATACTACTTACACGTATACTGGTTCTTGGCTCATTTTGCAAAAAAAAACAAAGTTTGGTGCTTGAGAAAGTCATAGCAAACATTTCTGTGTCCAAACTTGTCAGAAATTAATCATATTTTGGGGCATGTAATAATCTCTGACAGGTTCCAGTGGTGCTCTGTATATATATATATATATATATATATATATATATATATATATATATATATACACACACACACACACACACACACACACACACACACACACTTCTTACCTATGAGGATCTGTTTCTTTGGGAGCTGTAGCATACTTTATCATCCCAATAAATTTATACTAGTATTTCAGGTCTCACTCAGAAAATAGTACTTCTTTTCCTTTTCCCTCCTAAATTAGATTTACCAACAGCAAGAACTTGAGAGATGGTGAAGATCTCATGACATTGTAGATTTGTTTTGTTTCCCAGACTGCAGAGTTTCTCTCTTCTGTTGACATGTGATCACTCAACAAAAATTCCAGGGACTTCTTAGGTTACCAGGTATCCTTCTGAGTGCTCTCAAGCATTCCATCACAGAAAAAAAAATGTGAACTGGCAGTGAGTCCAATTAGAATTCCTAGTGCCAAATTGTACAAACTTTCTCTTCATCTCAGTTACTTCTCTACCCCCAGGATATACCATACTTACAACATTTCACTAGAATATTGTAATACAATTCAAAATCTTTCTGGTTCTGTATTCTCCAAAGATTTCTCTGGTTTATGACAGCAAGTATCATAGATAAGTAGTCTTATCCCCACTTGGTTGCCAGGCCCAGGACAGCCATTCACTCTCTATGGAATCTTAGCTGGTGAGGTATGGTAGGGGCTGCCACACTCTTCCTCTCCCCTCCCAAGAAACACTATATTTTTCTAAAGAAACTGCATCCTTTAGGGCTGGATTATGCACACCTAGCATGGGACTTCATAAGATATTTTTAAAGATTTTCTTCTATATAATTTGCTTGGATTTCTATTTCACCACACCCTCACCAACGTCTAATGCTGATCTTCACTCGTCTTACAGTTTACTTCAAGGAAATACTCCAAGGACCATCACAGCTCTTGCCAGGTTGATATCCTCTCTCATACCACAAGTCCAACAATTTGGCATCTTTGTTAAGAATGCACACATCAGGGCTGGGGTTGTGGCTTGGTGGTAGAGCACTTGCTTAGCATGTGTAAGGCACTGGGTTTGATCCTCAGCACCACATAAAAATAGATAAATAAAATAAATGTTTTTGTGTCCATCTACAACTAAAAATATTTTTTTAAAAAGAATGTACACATTGGGCTCATTTGTAAGGTGGCATTTGGTCCAGGTTGTTGACAGATAATACATATTAGTTTGAATATTCTGGTCATTATGGCACCAGATATCACCCAGATATGATAATCTAACTATAAGTTGACCCACATTCACATTAAGACCACACTCAATGATAAGTTATTTTATTTCATTTTTTTGGAAATTCTGCAGAAATCAGAACTCTTACCAAAGTTTGAACTAAAAAGGGACAGTGGGAAGGGGAGAAGGGTGGGATTGTCCAGCATGCTTGTATGTATATTTCAGAAACTTTTTAAATGTAAAAGCTGTACATTTCTGGGAAGTTCTGAATTTCTTTTGTTTTCTTTTGTCCTTCAAGCATTTTGCGGTGAGCTTCTTTTATATATAGCAAATAATTTGAAAGAATACAAAAATATGTGAAGTTCATTTAAAAAAAAAAACTACAGTATAGCACTAGTACAGTACACTAAAATACTTTGATAGAAAAAAAACAATAAGGGGCCAGGGTTGTGGCTCAGTGGTACAGTCTTGCCTCGAATGCCTGAGGCCCTGGGTTTGATCCTCAGCACCACATTAAAAAAAAAATAAAAATGAAAGATATTTTTTTAAAAAACTCTTTAAAAACTAATAAAAATCCTCCATTTTAAATGCCATTCATATATACCTTGTGGATGAGAGCTATATACTTTTATATACTTTTTAGAGGAATACATTATTGAAAAAAAAAAAAAAAAAGACCACACTCAGTGTATCTTCCTCTCTTTCAGAATAGATGAAAGCCAGCATGGTTGGCACACCCCTTAACCTAGTGAGGAGGCTGAAGCAGGAGAATTACAAGCTCAAGGCCAGCCTCAGCAACTTAGCAAGGCCCTAAGCAACTTAAATGGTTTCAAAATAAAAATGGCTGGGCATTGGCTCAATGGTTAAGTGGCTCATGGTCCAATCCCCAGTACCAAAAAGAGAGAGATGGAAACCCTTGACAAGAAATGGATGTTTTACTGAAATTTTATGAAACTGGGGAAGAAGATGTACATCACACTACTTATTGTATCTTAATGATAAAATGATACAATTTCTGTTTCATTTTTGCAAATGCGCTAAGACAAATACCACCCCCACATTCCAAACTGAGTCCACCGCAGCAAGATTTGCAAGGAGGTAAACAAGAATATGCCAGGACCCTTGGATGACCTATAGGTAAGTGAAGACTGGGGGAACAAGATAGAGAGTTAAAAATCAGAGGATTTCTGTAGGGAGAGTTTGCTTTGAGGCACAGCATACTCCCATAAGAAAGGAGGAGAAAAAGGTAAGGATGATTTCCCCTGATCCCGGGGTCAGAGAGAGGTCACTTAAAGAGCTTATAGACTGAGATATATGGACTTTCACAATTTAGGAAAACCAATGGATAAATCAGATGACTCATGCCTGAAATATACAAAGAGCAATGTGCTGACTGAAGCAGCCTATGGCAGCAAAACTTTGAGTGAAGCAGGTACACTCTTAAAAGTTTCCATGAATCAAATGGCAGATGGGAAAGAGAACAAAAGTAGAGCTTGGGAAAGAGAGAGGAAGAAGCTATTGCCTTATCCTGCACAGGACTGCAGCTTGAGGAGGAAGGAAACCTCTTTAGAAACACTTTGGCAATAATCAGGGATCAAAGAGTACACTAACATGACCAGACAAGGATATGCACTCGCCTGCATGAAATATAACATTAGTGGGTGGAGGAGGTTTCCAAAAAGTTCTTTTTTTTTTTTTTGTAGTTGTAGATGAACAGAATGCCTTTATTTTATTTGTTATGTGGTGCTGAGGCTTGACCTAGTGCCCCACAGGTGCTAGGTAAGTACTCTGCCATTGAGCCACAACCCCAGCCCCCCAAAAGTTCTTAAAAGGGTCCAGAAGACAGTCAGCTTTAGATACAAACTATGGTCAAAATAAATCAAACTAGATAAAGACCAGTCAAATAAAATTCTGTTGCTTCCTAATCTCTCCTCTCTCCCTCATTTTAACCCATGAAGAGTCAGAAGTAGCCTGGTGAATGATAGATGTGGAATAGAGGCACTACATGGAATATCAAGAACTCTAAGCTATCTTTTCTGCAATAGGTTTCCAGTTCACCAGGTGAAGCTAGAGGGAGAGGAGAAAATTCAGCTTTTAACCAATCTTGAAATTTAAAAAAAAAAATTGTACTGGACTTGGACTTCTGTTTGTCTTATTGTTTTGTTTTTTGTTAAACTGGAAATTGAATCCAGTATCTTGCAACATCTTAGGCAAGTGTTGTATGTACCACTGAATTACATCCCTGGCTCTTTTTATTTTATTTTGAGGCAGATTCTGGCTACGTTGGTCAGGGTGACCTTGAACTTACAGTTCTCTTGCCTCAACCTCTAAAGTAGCTAGGATTATACAAACATGCACTTCCACACCCTGTTTATTTGTTTTAAGAGACAGGAGTCTCACTATGTTGCCCAGGCTGGCCTCAAACGCCTGGGTTCAAGCATTCCTCCTGCCTCCAGTTCCCAAGGATCTGGGAATTATCGTTGTCACACACCATTTTGCCTGGCTGCCAGTATTTTTAAAAATATGTTTTGGAAGCTTGGAAAAGAAATGTGAGGTGAAGAAAGGAAAAGATGACAACCAAAACAGATCTAGAGGACATAGGCTAGAGAAGTCCCTGGAGACCTTGGAAAGAATGATTTCAGAAGCCCTTATGGTGACACAAATCAGACTATAATAAAAGATTGAAGAGTGGATGGGCTTTTTTCACCAAGATGGCACCAAAAGCTAAGAAGGAAGCTCCTGCCCCTCCTGAAGTTGCAGCCACTGCAAAAGCTTTGAAGGTCAAGAAGGCAGTATTGAAAAACATTCACACACACACACACAAAAAGAAGATCCACATGTCATCTAACTTCTGGTGGCCCAAGACACAGCAGCTCCAAAGGCAGCCCACATATCCTCAGAAAAACGCCCCCAGCAGAAACAAGCTTGACTATTATGCCATCATCAAGTTCCCCCTAACCACTGAGCTGGCCACGAAGAAGATTGAAGACAACACCACACTAGTGTTCATTGTGGATGTCAAGGCAAACATCAGATCAAACAGGCTGTAATGAAGCTTTATGACACTGATAACTTATAAACAACAGTAATATATTTCTCACAATTCTGGAGGCTGGGAAGTCCAAGATCAAGATACTAGTGGGTTTGGTGCCCTGTGAGGGTATAGACTGCTATGGTCAGAATATTTGTTCCTGAAATATTTACAAATTGAAACTTAAACATCAGTGAGAGCACTAAGAGGTGGGCCCTTTAGGTGATAAGGTGATGAGGATTTCACCTTCATGAATGGAACTGATGCCCTTAGAAGGGAGGTTTGAGGGAGCCCTTTTGTATCTTGCCAAGTCTTTCATCAGACATGAATCTACTGGCATCTTCATGTTGGACTTTCCAGACAACATGAGTAAATTTCTACTGTTTATAAACTACCCAGACTTGGGCATTTTGTTAGAGCAGTCCATACGGAGTAAGACGCCATCTCCCTCCCTAACCAAGCCCTAATTTTGTTGAAGGAATCCACTTTCCTATTAAAAGCTATCTTTGTCAAAGTCCTATGGAGGTGGTGTGGCCATGAGACTTAGTTCTGTATAATGAGAAGAAAGAGATTTCTTCTTAAAAGGGAAATAGTCTCTTCTTCCCCCTGTCCTTTTGTGCCTTATACCCGGCTTAAAAGCAGTTGAAATGACTGGGAAAGTAATAAAAACATTCACAAGAGCCCCACATGACACAGCAGAAAGCAGCAGCCTGGGACACTGAAGGCATTTTTTAAGCTGCTGTTACAACTTGCCTTCAGACTTTTTGTCACATGAAAGAAAAATAAAGGGCCCCTATCTTGATTAAGCCCCGTGTGTAAACTGTATGCAATATCTATCTGCCATACCACTCTTTAAAGGTATTTAGCTTTGACATGGAGGCCAAATAGACCAGTAACTACAAGCAGACTTGTGATTAGGGTTAGATTTGTAAGACAGGGTAGACTCGAATTTGTTTAATTACTGATAAGAGCAAGCCAGGGTAGGTAGAGAGAAAGATAAGCAGACGGGCAGATACAAGAAGGTACCAGAGAATGGAAATGGAATGACGGTCATATTGATGTTTTTTTTTTTTTTTTTTTTTTTTTTTTTTTCCTAACAGACTACCACAAACCTGGTGACTTAAAATAACACTGTTTGTTATGTCTCGGTCTCTATGGGTTGGGACTTCAGAAA